AACATAGCAAGATCTCTGTCTCTACAAAAAATAATTAAAAAAAAACAAAATTAGCAGGGTGTGGCAGTGTCCACCTGTAGTCCCAGTTACTTGGGAGGCTGAGACTTGAGTAATGAATTGCTTGAGCCCTTGTGGTCGAGCTTGCAATGAGCTGTGTTAGTGCCACTCTACGCCAGCCTGGGTGGCAGAGTGAGATTTTGTCTCAAAACAAACAAACGAACAAACAAACAAAAAGAATAAATATATTTGGGTCATTTTTCTTATGAATATTTAATAATATTGGCTATACATTCATATATGATATACATATATGTGTAAGATACAAAAGTTTTGATGTATATGACTATATTTAATTTATTAGTTTTAGGAAATATTACAAAGTATGTATTAGCCGTACTTGTCAGAAATTTTGGCAGAGGTATTTTTCTGAAGAGAAAACATCATAAAAGCTATCCTACCCAGGCAACTGGGCTTAAGGATTCTATTTAGTAGACTTTTCTATTCTAGAAAAATTGTGGGAAAGCAGATTCATAGTAGATCCTAGGATAGCAGCATCTTAGCCTGTTCCAGGAAACTTCCCAGTTTCCCAGGGGTTTGGTTCCATATTCTGGACTTGCTATTTTCTCTAAATTATTCATCGTTAAGCCTCCAATAAATACTGTAAAGGGAACAATAGCCAGGAAATCTGGATTATTTTACATAAGAAATAGTGCATCAAGATTTCTTGAGTTGTAAAAAACAGGATGTGGTAGAACTTTCGGTTAACATAAAAATGTCTTGTGACTGAATATTCTGAAGGCCACTTTTCTAACCCAGCACTTTTAGAAATGAGAGAGTCAGTAGTGTTAAGGTCCCTATACCAGGAGGCAAAGATCACCTAATGCTGGCTCTTGGAGGCACCTTATTCATAATTTGGCCCAATCTGCCATTGTGCAGACCTGCGAACTAGACCCAGCGTGGGGGAGTTATGCGTGCCAGGGCTAGGAGAGAACCAGGTAAACTATCAGGCAATTGTTTCAGATTATCCCTCATATGCTCTAAAAATATGAATTTCTTTCTGCACAGAAAAGTAAACTTTAAAGGGCACAGAGGCAAAAGCTTCTTGGATACCCAGCTTATGCTGCCCCTAGCAGTGCCCCAGGGGCTCCTGCCCTTGGCTGCCTAGTCTTGCACTCTCCCTCCAGTCCCTTACATTTTTCGGCCTCCCTTCCCCCGAGAACCTCGCCTGTGTTCTTGCTTCTGCATGGAGAAGTCTTCCCTCACAGCTCTGTTATTAACTTCTGCTCAAACTTGTGGTCAAGCTGCACTTTCTCAGGGAAATGGTTTCTGATTTCTCTGCCCAGGCAAAATTTTGATATTACAGGGTACTCATAGATCCAACTTTACATTTGTTTATTGGATTGTTTGTTTACTCTCCCTCTCTGCTGTAAACTCAAAAATAGTAGAGACGATTCCTGGAACAAACCAGAAGTTGAAAAGCTATTTATTAGATGAATGAACGATCTGATATAAAAGTTGCTTACATGCTGTCCAGACTGCCCAGGTTTGTGAGGGCTTCTCAAGCCCTGGTCTCAGGCTGCTTACCATCCTGTAGCCTGTATAAGAGGCAGGTCCCCACTGCCATGTGTTGGGTTCACTGGAACATGCTCCTGGACACCCGCCTGGATGTCTTTGAGAGCCTAGACCCCTGGGCTGCTGCTGCTTCTCTTTACGTTGTCTTTTCTACACACCAACCTAACACGCGAGCTCTTCCGAAGGTTATAGAAAGCTATTTCTGTTCTAATTCATGTCAAGTCTCCAAACTCAGTTCCCTACTTCATGGGGATCAGGGACTTTGTTTTCAAAATGGCATTAACTTTCTGGGGTCTTGGTGGTCTTTATACAAGTGTGTCCATTGAGTAATACACTTATAATTTGTGTACTTTTCTGGAAATATGTTATATTCCAATATAAAACTTGAAAACATTTGAAGAAACCTTAATAGCAACTCATATAATAATAAGAGAGACAGAGCAGAGAGAGAAAAACAGAAGAGAGAGGCATAGAGAGAAATCAAAAAGGACCATGATAAGGGATGAAGAGATGAATCATTGACTAGCCACACTAAGAATATTAAACAGACAACAAAATGAACAGGATCAATTATATGCACTAACCAAAGTGTATGTTCAATATTCACTTGTTACAGCTATTCATAGAACAATAGATAGTGTTGAGTATATATTGTTGAGACAGGAGTCAGATATTCTGCAAGCAGGGCAGGGATCAGAAGGGAAAGGCCCACAGGATAAGAAAGTCGCAAGAATGTAAATTTGCTTAGCTAAGATAAACATAACCCCTAGAGACCCTTTAGTGATTTTACTTTAGTCTTAACATTTTTATCTAAGATAAAAAGAGGAAATTCCTTTAACTGGGGCATTCACACAGTTGAGGCCAGCCTGTCCCTAAATGAACTACCTTCATTAACATAGTAAAAATCACACCTACCAACGCCATGACAGTTTACAAATGTCATGGCAACTCCCAGAAGTTACCCCATAAGGTCAAGAAAGGGGAGGGTCCTGGTTCTAGGAACTCTTCACTCTTTTCCCAGAAAATTCATAAATATTCTGCCCCCAGTTTTGCATAGCATATTTAATACAAAAGAACGGACCTTAACCCTGGAGTGGCACCATTCCTTCTTGGATCAGTGTGCTCTCTTGCCTTCCTTAAGAGTGTACTCTGCTTTCAATAAACCTCTGCTTTTGCTCACATCTCCTGTCTGAACTCTTTTCTCTCACTCATGCCCCTGTGCTTGAATTCCTTCTTGCATGGAAGGCAAGAACCCTCTCTGCTCTTGGGCAGTGGTCCACCCCGCTATCATAGTGATCCTATATAATAAAAAAGGAAAAGTCTATGATATGCAATCACTTGAGATTTATTAACGTGTGAGAGTTTGCTTCCTGTCTTTTCTTTCCACTTATACTGCCTATTAAAGAAAATTATGTTTTTGCCTTTTAAGCTTTATACTTCATTTCTTCCCTCCTACACAAAATCAATAGAATGGGATGGAGAGAGAGTTAGAACAGCTGGAGAGAAGAAAAGAGGTTTTTGCTCCCTGGTCAATTCCTCTGGGACAGAGAATGCCAAGATTGGGTAAATATAGAGAAAATTAACAAGAGAGCCAGAGAGATGAGAACTATCTACATAACCAGGACCAGACCCAGCAGGATGGGAGAGGAAGGGAGAGTGAGCAAAAGGAGAAAGAGAATCGAAGGAGCCACTATGTCTGGATGTTGGAGAACATTTGGGAGTTTAGTGAGAGGCTGCTAGGTGGCTGTGGAATATGGGAGAATTAAAGAGGATAGAAGTGGGATTTTTAGAAGCACATAATGGCTTATCAAGAGAATTTCCTACAATATTTCATAATACATCAGTTCTGGGTTGGGCTTTTTGGATATAATTCTCTGCAGAGACTAGGCCACAGGAAGCTTCAGGAATTATTTAGCTCTCGGTGGTTTATGTATAAGCAATACCTAGACAAAGGTTTAGAGGGATAGAATCCAAACTGAGTAGAGTCATCCCTGGAAAAGAGTATGGAATTGGAAGTTGCCAGGTAACTTTTAATTTTTACCCATAAACTTCTGTACTATTAACATTTTTACATAGCTCGTGCTACTTATACAATATTTAAATGGTAAGTATAAAGAAGCATCACATGCTCATGTTAATGGCACAATAGGCAGCACTCCATCTGCCTGCATTGCAAGCGCCGCTTGGTGATACAAAAGGAAGGCGTGGTTGTAGGCAAGGCTGTTCCAGCTCTGGGTGGGAGTCCAGTGACTGGGCTGCAAGTTTAGGGGTGTGGATGGAGGCATGGAGGACTATTTTTGGAGCTACAGGTATTTATACATTCAAAGACAGCAGAATAGTGCAGATGTCATTCTGCCAGTATCCCAGGGTGAATCACCAGAGATTGCTTAGAAGCAGACACACTATTCCCTGTTCCTGTTCATTCATTTGTTTATGTATTCATTTATGCATTCATCAGACATATTGTTGTCTGTGTACTAGGCCTTGTAGGCCTATTTTGAATAGTCATTCTCAGTCTGGCTTTTTGTTTTAATGTGTGTGTTTTAGAGACTCTAGTTACCCCAGACTCTCCAGAGCTAGCCAAGCAATGGAGAAGGAAGTGCTAATGAGGATGGGTGATTGGCCTGGGGCCCAGCTGTTCCTCCCACAAGGGTCACCTTCCTCTTGGAGATCGCTCACTTACTACGAGGGCCGACCTGGGAAGTATCTACTCACTTTGTGGGAATCCTGGCCTCTTCCCTCAGGCCTTTACCCTATGTTTTCATGAGGGCAAGCCTATCAGATAAGAAAATGTAATCCATAAAGTCCACCATGGGTTCAAGCCACTTGTATAACAGTGGGGATATCAGCCAGTGATGCTTCCGAGCAGATATGATTGATTCCTTATCCCTTCAACATGAGAGAGGATAAACTCTGAGTTTACATACAGCAATCATGCTACCATGAGGGCCTCATCATGGCCAAAGCCTTTCCACAAATTAATCAGAGGGTAGGAAAGAGGCAGCCCTCAACCCCCGAATCTCCTCCTCAGATGCTGCTAACTTACATTGGGAAGTTTATTCACAACATTCTAGAAAACATGGGATTCCAGGCTAGGATTTCACCGGCTCAGTCTGCTTGCTCATGTTCATGCAGATCTTTCCTCTAGTTCCGAAACAAGAGCAGAAGAGTGTCTGATAAAATAGCATAAACATGGACCGAAGAAATAGACAGGAAGTTACCATGAATTGCATTTATTCTTGCTTTATTCTTGCCAAAGTTTGGAGGTTGTGCTAACTCTGGCAGGCTGCCTTGGTAAAGAAGCAAAGCATAGAGGTGAAGCAATGAGGTTCTACATCACTGGGAATCACAGGGAGGGGCCAGAGGCTGCTGGATGTACCAGAAGGCATAGCAGGATAGTGAATTCTGGAGCGGGGCTGTCCTGTGTTTTAACAACAGCAGTCGTCCTCATCGTCACAGCATGCAGGACCTCGGGACCTCATGGGGATAATTCCCAAACAGCAGCACCCGCCGGAGCCACAGCCCCCAGAGCTGCCACACCCACAGCCACAGCCTCCAGAACTGCAGCCTCCAGAACTGCAGCACCCAGTACTCTCACAGCAACCAGACGATCCCGTGTTGCAATCCTGGGGCCGCTGGATCCAGCGTCTCAGGGGACTCACCCCGAAGGTGCGGGGAGCCAGGCAGCAGTAGCTGGTGGAACAAGGTGCAGAGCATGGGTCCGGGGCACAGGACTGGGAGGCTGAGCCACCTGCAGGAGCTTGAACGTAGTAGCTCTGGGAAGGAGAAGGGTACTGGACGCAATATGTCTGGGTCTGGCAGGGAGTTGGACATTTGACGTAGGTCGTCTGGCACGGAGGTGGACACTTCACATATGTCTGGCAGGGAGCTGGGCATTTCACATACGTCGTCTGGCGTGGAGGTGGGCACTTCACGTATGTCTGGCAGGGAGCTGGGCATTTCACATACGTCGTCTGGCATGGAGGTGGGCACTTCACATATGTCTGGCAGGGAGCTGGGCATTTCACATACGTCGTCTGGCATGGAGGTGGGCACTTCACATATGTCTGGCAGGGAGCTGGGCACTTCACATAGGTTGTCTGGCATGGAACTGGGCACTTCACATACGTCTGGCAGGGAGCTGGGCATTTCACATAAGTTTTAGTCTGGCAAGGAGCTGGGCACTTTACATAGGTTTGAGGCTGGCATGGAACTTGGTACTTCACATAGGTTTGAGCGGAGGCTGGTGCGGGGCCTACAGTGAGGCCTGGAGCAGCAGAGGCTGGAGCAGGGCCTGTCACAGAGACGATTTGGGTCTGGCTTGGAGCTGGGCCTCTCACCGAGGCACCTTTGGTAGCTTGCACAGCCCCCAGTCCCGAACCTTTCACACAAGATGGAAAGAATTGTGGCTGCTTCTGCTGGTCACACATTTTTCTGGGGCTTTGCAAAATCTGGAAAAGAGAGATTTCATCACAACTGTCAAACTAGGAAGGTTTCCAGGGAAAGCTTCAGTATCCTCTTTGAATAGAGCGATTGGTAAGCAGTGGCCTTTTTGAGAAGGTCTCAGACACCCAGAGGCTATATACCTGGCAGAAGGGTAGACTCAGAGCCAGGGACTCTAGGCTCAGCTCTTGTGGCTTTGGACAAGTCACTGGTGACCTCTGGACCTCAGTCTCCGCAGTGAGAAATGAAGAGCTTTAAAGAGTAAAGTCTGCTTTTCTACCCAGCTCTCCAAGCTTCCTCTCATCTTACTTACTTCAGTCTGTGATTGTGAATTAACTGGGGAAATTGCTGTTCCCCAGTTCACTTCTCCCTGCCACCAACTCTCTGCCACCGATTCTCTCCAGGGTGGCTTTCCTTCTTCCTGCCTTCCAGGGAGTACCCAGGGAAGGCAAATTTATGTCAATAGACCCTGAACCAACATGACCCTCAGGCTATGCCTGACAGGGAGCAAAGAGCAAGGCCAAATTTGAGCAAGTTTCTAACCATTTGCTCCTTGGACCACCTGGTCCATCTCTTCACCTCGTTAGCATATGGACCCAAGAGAGGACTACACACCTGCACTCAGAGGCGGGGTGGGGAACTCAGTTCTCTGAAGTCCCTTCTCACACAGGGCTACCAGTTCATCTCGTACCTCTCCCCCTCCTCCTACTCCCCAGGCTACACGCTCCCACCAGCACCGCCATCTGCCTCCTTCCGTGGGTGTCCTCAGCGTCTAGTCCACACTCCCCCTTCACCCCACAGTTTTCCACCCCAACTGCACCTAGGCTGTGCTTTTTGCCATGTCCCTGTCTAGTTTAGAGACTTACCCTCTTTGCTAACAGGAGCAAGCAAGACTGGAAGAAGCCAGTGATCTGAGGAATTGGCAGTTGGGGAGACTTTTATAGGGCAGCAATGAGGCAATTTAATGGCATCTAAATGAAGCACCAGCGATCACGAGGACAAAGGCTGGTGTTGCATTGGCAAGATTCCTCCCCAGTATGCCTGGCTCTTCAGTCAGAGGTAGGGCATGTCTCTGCTTGACATTGGGTTTTTCCCAAACATGAGATAAAGGATCCTGTTGCCTTCCTCCGGAAACAAGTCAATCTCCTTTTCCTAGAAGTTATGAGTGATGCCTATGTGATCTGTCTCTAGTGAGTACTTTTTATGCACCAAACAATTCACAAGGCACATACATTTACAGGTGGATGAAGTTGAGACCCTGAAAGACTAAGGGAGTCACCTGTTGTCACAAAGCAAGTAAGTAAGGAAGCCAGAACTCACATGTAGACCGTCTGCTTCCACAGACCACGATCTTTATCACTACAATATGTTGCCTTTTATTTCTAAACATAGCATTGGCCTGGAATCCCTGCCTTCTGCCGCTTCCCTATGCAGTAGATGCAGAAAGAGAAGTGGAAATATTAACTATTGAGCATTTACTGTGTGCCAAATACTGTCCTAGCCTCTTCACTTGTGTCATTTCATTTGTTCTTGAAAAACCCTGTGAGGTAGTCTTCATTAGCTCTATTTTTACAGAAGAAGAAACTGAGACCAAGAGGTCTAACTGTGTCAGCAAGATCAGCCGGTCAGTAGTAACAGGATATTTGAACCCAAGCCTACCTAGTTCCAGAGCCTATACCGTTCCCACTGAGCCTTGTTGGGTTGCCCACTGGGGAAGGTTGTCTTGAATCTGATCCTGCCACTGGTTCTAAATCTCACTCCTTCAGATCAGCCAGCCCAGGGCCATGTGGCTTCTTGGATAAACACTGCTACTGTATTTGTACATAATGAATCCTCACATTCCTCAGGACCCATAAGCCCTAAAGCTCCCAGATAAACAAAGAAAATGCAAATCTCCCCCCCCCACCACCACTAGTTCACAAATTAGTTCAAGTCAGGTCTTGCAAAATCTCTGAACATTCTTTTATATCTCTCCAACCCCACCCTGCAACGACCCTAGGGTGTGGTAACCACCAATCTACTCCATTTCTATGAGATCAACTTTTATAGATTCCACATATCAGTGAGATCATGTGGTATGTCTTTCTGTGCCTGGCTTATTTCGCTTAGCATGATATCTTCCAGGTTCATCCATTTTGTTGCAAATGACAAGATTTCCCTTATTATGGCTGAATAATATTCAATTGGGTATGTATACACCACATTTTCTTTACCCATTCCTCCATTGATGGACACTTAGGTTAATTCCATATCTTGGCTATTGTGAATAATGCTGTAATAAACATGGAGGTACAGATATCCCTTTGATATAATGATTTCCTTTCCTTTGGATAAATACCCAGTAGTAGGATTGTTGGATCATATAGTAGTTCTATTTGTAGTTTTTAAGAAACCTCCAGGCCGGGCGCGGTGGCTCACGCCTGTAATCCTAGCTCTCTGGGAGGCTGAGGCGGGCAGATTGTTTGAGCTCAGGAGTTCAAAACCAGCCTGAGCAAGAGCGAGACCCTGTCTCTACTAAAAATAGAAAGAAATTAATCGGCCAACTAATTAGCCAGGCATGGTGGTGCATGCCTGTAGTCCCAGCTACTCGGGAGGCTGAGGCAGGAGGATTGCTTGAGCCCAGGAGTTTGAGGTTGCTGTGAGCTAGGCTGATGCCACGGCACTCCAGCCCGGGCAACACAGTGAGACTCTGTCTCAAAAAAAAAAAAAAAAGAAACCTCCATATTCTTTTCCATAGTAACCATATTAATTTACATTCCCATCAACAGTGTATAAGAGTTCTCTTTTCTCTGCATCCTCACCAGCATTTGTTATATTGTGTTTTTTTGATAATAGCTATTCTACCCAGAGTAAGGTGGTATCTCATTGTGGTTTTTATTATCATTTACTTTATTATTAGTATGTTCAGCATTTTTTTCATATACATGTTGATCATTTGCATGTCTTCTTTTGAAAAATGTCTATTCAGGTCCTTTGCCCATATTTTTTTGAAATGGGGTCTCGCTGTGTTGCCCAGGTCATTCATAAACTCCTGAGCTCAAACAATTCTCCTACCTCAACCTCCCAGTTAGCTGAGGCTACAGACATAAGTCACCATGCCCAGCTGCTCATTTTTTAATTTGGCTATTTGTTTTCTTGCTATTGAGTTGTTTAAGTTCCTAATACATTTTGAATATAAACTCCTTAGCAGATGTATAGATTGCAAATATTTTCACCCATTCTATAGGTTGTCTCTTCACTCTGTTAATTGTTTCCTTTGCTGTACAGAAGCTTTTTAGTTAGATGTAATCCCACTTGCCTATTTTTTCTTTTGTTGTCTGTGCTTTTGAGGTCATATCCAAAAAATTATTGCCCAGATCAATGTCATGAAGCTTTCCCCCTATGTTTTCTTCTAGTAGTTTTACAATTTTGGATCTTACACTTACATTTTTAATCCGTTTTACTTGATTTTTGTATATGGTATGAGATAAGGGTCTTATTTAAATCTTCTATATGTGGATGTTCAGTTTTCCCAGGGTGATTTATTGAAGAGACTGTCCTTTCCCCATTGTGTGTTCTTGGCACCTTTGTCAAAGATCAGTTGACAGTAAATGTATGGATTAAAATTCCTGGATTTTATTGGTCTATGTGTCTGTTTTTATGCCAGTACCATTTGTTTTATTATAACTTTGTAGTATATTTTTAAGTCAAGCAAAGCGATTCCTTCCTGCCCCTAAACAATTTGGAGGAAGCAAGAAGGGGAGGTTCTGTCTCAGGATTGGAATGTGTCCTGATTCCTCCTGTCATTCCTGCCTCTGATAGGCTTGTCACATTCTCCACCTGCCTCTATGAAACTCACCAGTCCCTCTCCCTGAAGGACAAGAGTAAGTGAGGAGGGATGTGGTTCCAGGCCATTCCATTCCTGCTCTCCTAAGTTCCCACCTCAGCTGATACCCAGGCCTGATGTTTTATGGAGGAAAGGAGAAAGGAACAATTCCTGTTGGGGTTAGACACTTCACATAGGATAGCTTGTCAAATTTAGTCCTCACAGTGTCCCAAACAAACAAATAAATAACATGCCTAAGTTCACATAGGTAGAAGTGGTAGAGCCAGAATTTGAACTCAGGTATAAGAGACTTCAAGTTTTATTGTTTTTCCACCACAACATACTGTTTCTGGTGTTAAAATCCATGATGTTCTAGGAACTACACCTTTCAGTCACCTAACAGGCAGTCATTACAAAGCCCTCTATTATATGTAGGATGAGACAGCCCAACTTTATAGGGAAGAAAATGCCTAGAACAACAGCCATTTTAGGGCATGTCAACAAAATAGGAGAGAGGCACCAACAGGAAGACCTGAGCTCCTGTTCTGATTCTACCACTACCCCAGCCTATGATTCCACAGTGCCCTGCTGCCTTTTCTCTTCCACTCTAAAGAGGTTAGATGAGGCCCCTTTTGGCATGACATTCTGTGATTGTAGGGGCCTATTCCACAAAGGAAATGTATACTTCCAAAACCTAGCTGTTCATAGAGTTATTCCCACTAAACTATAACTTTCAAGAGTTGGTTACTGTGGACATATTTACTGTATATCATCACAGGACTGGGGAAACACTGACTAAACAAATGAATGAAGGAGTGAATGGATGAGGATACCTTACATTGGCAGTACAGCCCAAACCCATCTCCTTCTTCCACGTGGTGAGCCCTGTCCTGCCATTAGCCAAACTGTGCATCGCGTGCCATCTGTGAGCTCTGCTTGGCTCATTTCCTGCTCTGTAGGGCCACGCTCTCACTAATGGGTTTGACATCTGCAGATAGCACTAACATCCCTGGTGAGAGATACTGCATCCATCTGCCACCAAAACAGGTGGGTGGGTTGTGCTCCACCCATTTTATAGGCTAGGAAGGCAAAGCATGGAGATGACTGGTGCAAGTGCCAGGATGAGTCACAGGGCTATCCCCAAAGCTCCCAGAAACTCCCTCCCATTTATCTCTTTGGACA